AATCGACATCGCCACAATTGCCACCAACGCCACCACCATCAGCACAAAGATTTCCAGCTGGAAATGGGCTTCCGGAAATCTAGCTGAAGCTTACTTGCAAGATCAACATCTTGGGCAGGAACCACGCTGGCTTGTCGTTAATCACGGCGAAAACCTAGAATTTGCCGGATTTGTGGCGTTAGTAACAATTTTTCTGATATAAATAGCTATTCCTTTTTATTTTTCTGATTTACCAACTTCTAAATAGTTTTTTAATATTCTTCAACTTAAAGACTATATAAATTTTTGTTGAAAAATGCTAAATATCGATTTTTCGAACAAATATTCCTCTCCAAAAATTTTTTACATTTTTTAAGCCAGGTTTTAGACTTGAAATTTACTTAAAAGTTAAAGTTTACTAAAAACCTTTTAAAGTACTTGGACTTAGAAGCCCCTCCCCCACCCGATAAATTGAAAGCACCGAAAAATCTGACCATCATCGCGCCGGAAACGACGGCCATCAACAGGAGGGCGGCGAAGAGGAGCACCACCCACAGGGCCAAAAATTCGGAGCATTCTGAAGGAAAAGTCTATTTTTTAAGTGTCTTTAGCCCTACGCGTCAATGCCCATAGTCCCGAAGCAAGGCAGATGATTTCGAAGGCGACGGCTGGCAGGCAGGCGGCTCTATAGAAAGTGTTAGTAATTATGTGATTTTTTTACTAAATTTGTCGGCAGTTATTTCTAAAAAAACCTCATTAATAATCCGATACCTATAATGGAGAAGATGGCAGAATGGCGGGGCCAAGTAGAAGCGATCGTCGGGCGAGAAGCGGAAATTTGGCGGTAATTGCTCGACTTTGTTTTCGTGGCCACCACCCATTTCTGAACGGCGGAAAGATGCAGAAAAAGGTGTCAAAACGAGGAGAGATATCTTATCTGTTACTTGTCTGTTAGCGGGGGCGGGGGGCTACATAGCCTATATTTAGTCAGGAAAATAACTATTTTATGGTGATTTTTTTTTAGTTTTTGGTTACTAAAAAGGCATAAAAAGTTTTGAACATTGAAAAATTTGAAATTTGTGGTTTTTAAACTGAAAATCAGAATATTTCGAAACCTTGATAATTTTTATGCAGTTGAGACAGTTAAAAGGGCTTAGAAATACACGAAAAAGAAGAATAAAAGATAAGTAGTGTCTATTTCCGTTTTGATAGCCCAAGAGGCGATTGGGTAAAGTTTGTGCCCGCCCCCCCCGCTAACAGAACAGTGCCCTTTTAGAGAGAGGAGAGAGAGAGAGAGAGAGAGAGAGAGAGAGAGAGACGAAGAACGAAAATAAAAGTAAAAATTTTGTTAAGCCTAGCCGTAGCCAAATCCGGATCGGAAAAGTGCGGAGATCGATCGAAGCCCGGAGGCAGACGCCTTCTCCAGCCCGGGGGTTTTTATCGGTCAACCAGTGGGGGAGAAGGAGGAGGAACAGCCCGGAGAGGAGCATGAGGGGGAGGGGGAGGGGATAGTCCGGATTTCAGGGGAAGCGAAAGCTCGTTCTCCCCTCCGCACCCACTGTTATACCCATTCCCCGCGATTCGATACTATAATCATATCAGGATTCCCGGCAACAACCCAGGAAGCTAAAGGAAAAGCCGACATTGAGAGCTGGAAAAGACGCTAAAAATCGACGTGGTAAAAGCTCGAATTTAAAGTGATTTTACTAATTTTATTCTTTTTTTTAAAATCTGGTTAGTTTTAATTTTTTCGGGTTTTTTTGCGTGTGTGGCATCACTTCCGCTTTTCCACGTCAAATTGGTCTGTGAAAATGCGTTTTTGACTCGAGACTCTTTTGGAGTAGAAAGTGGGCGTATGCTAGCGAAAATAGGTCACAGCATGATGAGCAACAGGCTGGTGATCCGGCGGATCTCTTGAAATCGAATAACGGGAAAAAAATCAAAGAATTTTTTTATATAACAGAAAAAGTATAAAACGACCATATCCTATATTTATAAGAATAAATTTATTTAAATGTTAAAAAAATAAAATAATTTTATAAAATGTTTGTATTTTTGTTGTCAAAAATGTTAAAAAATGTTAAAAATACAAATTTTTCATGATTTTACGTTTAAAATCGCCAAAAATGTTTTGGAAATACTTGATCTAATTATATCCCAAAAATTGGATCCTAAGAACGAAGTTCGTCCCCCGCCGATATTGCAAAAGAAGCGTTTTTCCAATAAATTTAATCTTTATGACTTTTCCGTCTCGTATTCTGTAGTTTTGTTTCGATGTCATTAGAGCGGTTGTCGTTAATGCTTGCTTGTGCTGGCCCTGCAATTGGAAACTTGCCGATGAAGTGGCCCAATCTGAGAAGCCGAGGTATGACGAGGTCTAGTCGTCTAGCCAGCCTGGCAACAATCTCCAGCTGCTGCTCATTTTACTTGCCCGTGTCGACGTCAACGTTGCAGATGAGAATAGATTCCCCAAAAATGGGCGGATGTACTCGTTTTACACCTGCTTGGAGACGTCGAGAGTACCCGGATGCTGAAAAATATGTACATGTTTTATGGGAGTGGATATGCGGGTTTTAGACCACTTTATAGCTCGTAAAGTGCCCTCCGATTCCTCAAAGAATCTCTGCTAGCCTGCCCTCCGATTCCGCAAAGAATCTCTGCTAGCCTGGCCACCGAGTCCTCAAAGCATCTCTGCTAGCCTGCCCTCCGATTCCTCAAAGAATCTCTGCTAGCCTGCCCTCCGATTCCTCAAAAAATCTCTGCTAGCCTGCCCTCCGATACCTCAAAGAATCTCTGCTAGCCTGCCCTCCGATACCTCAAAGAATCTCTGCTAGTCTGCCAGACTGACTCACAAGCGATTTTTCACAACGTTCTAATAAACTTCTCCCGCTAACAGCCCAGTACCGAGTTTTTCAGCTTTTAGATCCTAGACTCCTAATTTCCCATCCCTCTGGTGATGAAGTACGAAACTTTTCTAATGCCACTCCAGCCCTACTCGTCCTCTTGGAACGAAAGAGAAGAGGGCAACACCTCCTTTTTGAATAGGGCTCAAATTGAGAGGGCAAAAAATGAGGAATCACCCAGGGGGAGGGGCTGCCCTCCCCTCAGAAGGGCCCTGATTCCGATTTGTTTCTATGTCCGGTGGAGCCCGGATGGACTTATGAATGAGAATAGCATGGCGGGTATGCGTTTTTCGGGTTCTCACACTTTTTGGGGGAGGCGGATTGTAGCGAGATCAGATGGTGGAATCTTATGAATTTGAGGGTATTTTGGCGCATAGGGGTTCGGATTTCCTCAATGACCCCTGCTAGTCTGCCCCAGCTAGGTTTTGGCACCTGAATATGCCAAATTATCTTTGATAGCGTTTTCAATCTCGCTATCTGGCTTTCTCGCGCTCTTACTCTAGCTCTCTCCCATGCTCTCTCTCGCTCTCTCTCTCTCTCTCTCTCTCTCTCCTCTCTCTCTCTCTTTCTCTCTCTCTCTGACTCTCTGACTCTCTGACTCTCTCGCTCGCTTTTCTTCAAGTTTCACTGTCGCCTTTCCCTTTTCGCTTCCCATTCCCTTTAAACCCAACCCAATCTGGCCACCTTCCGACCCGTTTGAACCGGCTTTTCCCCGAATGTCTGGCCAGGTCGAGGTCGTGTTTTTGCCTGGGACACTTGTTTGAAGGCGTGGGCGCTAGTCGAGACGAAGGAGAAGCACATCTTCTGCTGCTCCTCCTCCGCCTTCATCCCACCGTGGGACCATCCCCCCTCTTAGGGCCCAATAGCCTTAGGGCCCAGAGGGTGGCCAACGGGCGCAAAAAGTTTCCGGGCCAAAGAGGCCAGTGGCGGTAGGTTGAATATTTGGTTTGGCTTCCCAAAGAATCTCTGCTAGCCTGCCCACCGATTCCTCAAAGAATCTCTGCTCTTCTCTGCGATTTTCGAGCCATAATTCCTCTTGGAATATTGCCAAAAGGCCAAAGTTCCCGCGTCCTTTAAGGACTGGTGGCCCAATTGGATCATCCAGACAATATAAGAAGCCGAGCCGAGGGTACAGAATAATTTATTTCTTTTCGGGGCAGATTGAGGTTTGGAGGTGGCCAACCGGAAGTGATTTTCAACAGAAGAAGGTCGCCAGCCGGCCCTCCGATTCCTCAAAGCTTCTTTGCTAGCTGCCCTGAAAAAGCCTAAAGACTCCCTGCTAGCCTGCAAAGGCTTGACCAAAAACCAACCACTTCTCGTCCCTTTTAAGGACACCGCTCCAACGAACGGCTGAACGCCTTGGAATCGTTGATGACGGATCTCTCTCCTAGTCTCTCTCTCTCCCTCTCTCTCTCTCTCTCTCTCTCTCTCTCGCTCTCCCACTCTCGCTCTCTCTCCATTCTCACCCCCCTATCCGTCTGTCCCGTCAATTGGCCATCAGCGTATCGCTACCGTACCCTCTCAGCTAATTGTCGAGTTGAGACGAATTCGCACGCTTTGGCTGGGATACTACAACACTCAACTCGCGACATTTTTAGCCCACCGATTTTGAGACATTACGGGGGCACTTAGTTGATCACGAGTTTGTTGAATGGTTGCTAGCTTGTCCTGATTCTTCAAAGAATCTGTGCTAGCTTACCCGCCAATTCGTCCAGAATAGCCGCTAGCCTACCCTACAATTCCTCAACGAATCTCTGCTAGCCTGCCCTCCGATTCCTCAAAGAATCTCTGCTAAACTGCCCTCCGATTCCTCAAAGAATCTCTGCTAGCCTGCCCTCCGATTCCTCAAAGAATCTCTGCTAGCCTGCCCTCCGATTCCTCAAAGAATCTCTGCTAGCCTGCCCTCCGATTCCTCAAAGAATCTCTGCTAGCCTGCCCTCCGATTCCTCAAAGAATCTCTGCTAGCCTGCCCTCCGATTCCTCAAAGAATCTCTGCTAAACTGCCCTCCGATTCCTCAAAGAATCTCTGCTAGCCTGCCCTCCGATTCCTCAAAGAATCTCTGCTAAACTGCCCTCCGATTCCTCAAAGAATCTCTGCTAAACTGCCCTCCGATTCCTCAAAGAATCTCTGCTAGCCTGCCCTCCGATTCCTCAAAGAATCTCTGTTAGCCTGCCCTCCGATTCCTCAAAGAATCTCTGCTAGCCTGCCCTCCGATTCCTCAAAGAATCTCTGCTAGCCTGCCCTCCGATTCCTCAAAGAATCTCTGCTAGCCTGCCCTCCGATTCCTCAAAGAATCTCTGCTAGCCTGCCCTCCGATTCCTCAAAGAATCTCTGCTAAACTGCCCTCCGATTCCTCAAAGAATCTCTGCTAGCCTGCCCTCCGATTCCTCAAAGAATCTCTGCTAGCCTGCCCTCCGATTCCTCAAAGAATCTCTGCTAAACTGCCCTCCGATTCCTCAAAGAATCTCTGCTAGCCTGCCCTCCGATTCCTCAAAGAATCTCTGCTAGCCTGCCCTCCGATTCCTCAAAGAATCTCTGCTAAACTGCCCTCCGATTCCTCAAAGAATCTCTGCTAGCCTGCCCTCCGATTCCTCAAAGAATCTCTGCTAAACTGCCCTCCGATTCCTCAAATAATCTCTGCTAGCCTGCCCTCCGATTCCTCAAAGAATCTCTGCTAGCCTGCTTTCCGATTCCTCAAAGAATCTCTGCTAGCCTGCCCTCCGATTCCTCAAAGAATCTCTGTTAGCTTGCCTCGATTCCTGAAGAATCTCTGCTAGCCCCCATGATTTTTGGCCAATATCCCGAATCCTCAATCTCAGCCCCCCCTACATCGTAATTATCAATTCTGGCGGAAATGTGCGCCGGAGGGCACATTTCAAATTCTTTTCCCGATTTGTAACTCTTGACATGGGACCGCCCGATTTTATTCACCCTTTCATTCCCATTGAATAGCGGAGCCAGGATTGTCCCGGAATATCGGGGGTAGAATCAAAGCAGAGGGGCATAGCACAGATTCTTGGCCCTGGACTGGATACAAAATCTTGTTTTTCCGCCTATTTGCCTGTTGAGAATACACCGATAAAGTATTTTTGTGGTGTTCTTAATAGATTTTTTAATGCTAGAAAGGTATAGAGAATATTACAACGAATTTGAATATTGGAAAATGCTGCTTTTTGTTTAGTTTAATAGTTTCAACTTCTTTATAGGGCTTTACGCGATTGCTTTGAAAGGTTTGGTCCCCCCGCTAACAGTCAAGTACCAGACATTGCAGGGTTTTGAGGACAGGATTCTTTGAGGAATCGGAGGGCAGGCTAGCAGAGATTCTTTGAGGAATCAGAGGGCGGGCTAGCTACGATTCCTTCGGATTTTCAAGGCATTCTAGCAGAGATCACGGAGACCGTTTTCTGATGCCAATTTAATAGATTCCCTTGCAAGATCTGCACTCTCTCTCCTCACCCACGAGAATCATGTCCAAAAATAGCCTTTTGGGTGGGCGTGTGAGGGTAAAGTTACGCCCTCGATTCCCTTCGAAATCTGAATCTGCCCTCCTCGGCCGTGCCGCTATAATTAATTATTAAAAGGGGTGCAGAAGGTTTCGGGGAAGTCCTTTTAGGAAGTACCCCTCTTTTTAGAACTATAATCTTAATATATCTTTTTTTTGCTTCTTTGTCATTTGAGGGGGGTGGCGATTTTTTTCATCTAAGCCCGCTTGCTTTGTAATCTAACAGTCATTGTTTAATAGTGTTTTAAAAGAATTTCAGCAGAAATTTTCAAAGTTTTCAACTAAAAAACATTATCTAAAAACTCAAAAGAAATTTTGAAAGCGTCTAAATTTTGGTCAAAAACGGAAAAAAATTGTATGAAAATCGATATTTTTGTACTTTTTTTTAAGAAATAGTTGTCAAGTTTTTGCGTTTATGAATAGTAAAAACAACCCTAGAAAAACTTCGTCTATTTATATTAGAAAAATCGGATACTTGGGAAAAGTACCCCCCCCACCCCCGCCCCCCCCGATAATGCATTAGAACCTTTTTCTTTTATTTGTGTTTAATGGGCTTTTTATAATTTTCAATTTTCTCTTTTCAACTCTCAATTCCAGAATACACCTCTTGACGGTTGAGGCATCAACGAAAACCCAAAGATGTTGCGCGCCTACTCGGTCCGCCGCAAACAGGACCTGCGGGCACGATTTTCCAGTGAGTTTTTGAAGGTATTAAAGGTATTGTGAAGGGAGAACCTCTACATAAAACAAATTTTAAATAATAATTTGACCTCCTAAACCCTAAAAAAACAAAAAACGCCCAATGGGCAGTGTGGCCAAGTGGTTAGCATTGTTACCGCTCACCCACACGACCCGGGTTCGACCCCCGGCGCGGCGTACTTTTTGCTTTTTGGAAGAGAGCTCCGGGAAGGTATTGGAAAACTATTAACAATAAGAATAAGGCACTGGCAGGCTTGCAGAGATTCTTTGGGGAAGTTCTGCCGAGGGGCCCCGGCTAGACAGAAGGGCCCGCCATAATGACTCTTAAGGAGGATTTTCTGGAATTTTGAATTTGCTAGGAAAGGGGAGACTTTGGAGACCATCGATCCACAAACCGGAAACTGCTTCAAAAATTCTAACTTCTGTAATTCTTAAATTACTACAAAACTATGCGAAAATCGGTGTCCGTGGATGCGAGGATGTTGCGGGTATCGTGGAAGGGATATCGATATGGTAAGGGGGTGTATAGTAGAGATTATTTGGGAATCAATCTCTTTAATGCTTCTTCCATGTCCCTTTAACGCTCTTTAAAGGGACAGTGACACTAGTTTCCCCTATATTTTTGTGAAGAGTATCCCTCTGGAATTCCCCCTCCTCGACAGCTTTCTGGGTGGTCGGGGTGGATGGGTCGAGAAGATCTATTCGCCTATTTGTCGGCAGGGTTCATTTCCGGAAGATTGGCCCATCCCTTTCTCTCTTTCTCTCTCTCTCTCTCTCTCTCTCTCTCTCTCTCTTCTGAAAGAGCAAGAGATCTATTCTACCAATATGCATAACCAGCCCTACACCTGAAGATACTAATAATCCACATGGGGAGCGAAGAGAGGCAGCCTTTTCTGGGTAAGATCGGGCTTCTGCATTTCCTAAAGAATCTCTGCTAGCCTGCCCTCCGATTCCTCAAAGAATCTCTGCTAGCCTGCCCTCCGATTCCTCAAAGAATCTCTGCTAGCCTGCCCTCCGATTCCTCAAAATCTCTGCTAGCCTGCTCGCTCTTTTTGCTATTATTTTGTCTCCTCCTCCATGAAAATCATAAGGTTTTGGCTGGCCGGATGAGGGCAAAAATTGGTTTTTATGTTTTGTTTTTTGTTCTGGTTTCGATATTAAAATTTTTGTCTATCACGGTTAAGGAAAATCTAGAAGCATTTGATGGCTAAAAAATTTTCATGGGATTCTCCTTTTTATGGAGTTTTTTTGGGAAATCTTTAGGGGGCTAGAAGGGCAGAATAGCGTTGCGATTGCGTACCTGAATGCCCAATTGGACAGCCGATATTCTTGCCTTGTTGGGCGGACACAAATGATATGCAAATAACCGGAATATACCCCGGGAATTCCTGCATTCGATCCCCCACCTTCTTTTTGCATATTAGAAGTTACGCCGATTTTTTGATTTTTCGCGTTTTTAGACCATTATACAGCTTCCTGTTATCTTCAGAAGCTTTTAAAACCGGAAAAGAAGCCATTCGGAATCTGTTCATCAAAAAGCAAAAACTTTCACTGGGCCGGGGATCGAACCCGGACCATACGGGTGGGAGGCAACATCGCCAACCACTAGACCACACCTGCAAAACGGCATAAGCTTTTTGAGTTTTCCTGCGAAATATCCTGCGGGTTTTTTTGCTAGAATTGTCGCATTCTTTGTGAGCGGCCCAAACAAAATTGAACCAAGAAAAAACAGAACTTTTTCAGCGTTTTTTGGGATTTTTTTGATCCTTATCAACCTCTAAAAACCTTGTGGACAATAAAATTCTGGCTCCGCAGCAACGAGAGCAAACAGAGAATTCGGCAATACATCTATTCAATTCCCCCAAATGATCCCTGCTAGCCTGCTCTGTTCTTTGAAAAATCCCGACATGCAGCCACTCGATTTGAGTGAAAGATGAATTGAGAGGGGTCGAGTCTCCTTCTTATTAATCTTCATATGTTGCTCTCTCTCTCTCTCTCTCTCTCTCTCTCCTTCTCTCTATCCCTCTCGCTCTCTCGCCCTCCAGGTGGTCTGAGACAGATGTGAGACATCGTCCAACGTTAGGTCTCGGAGTTTTGGAACCTATTTTCTGGATTTTGGAGGTCGGAAGCGAAGGATAGCAGAGATTCTTTGAGGAATCGGATGGCAGGCTAGCAGAGATTCTTTGAGGAATCGGAGGGCAGGCTAGCAGAGATTCTTTGAGGAATAGGATGGCAGGCTAGCAGAGATTCTTTGAGGAATCGGATGGCCGGCTAGCAGAGATTCTTTGAGGAATCGGATGGCAGGCTAGCAGAGATTCTTTGAGGAATCGGATGGCAGGCTAGCAGAGATTCTTTGAGGAATCGGAGGGCAGGCTAGCAGAGATTCTTTGAGGAATCGGATGGCAGGCTAGCAGAGATTCTTTGAGGAATCGGAGGGCAGGCTAGCAGAGATTCTTTGAGGAATCGGAGGGCAGGCTAGCAGAGATTCTTTGAGGAATCGGATGGCAGGCTAGCAGAGATTCTTTGAGGAATCGGAGGGCAGGCTAGCAGAGATTCTTTGAGGAATCGGATGGCAGGCTAGCAGAGATTCTTTGAGGAATCGGAGGGCAGGCTAGCAGAGATTCTTTGAGGAATCGGAGGGCAGGCTAGCAGAGATTCTTTGAGGAATCGGATGGCAGGCTAGCAGAGATTCTTTGAGAGGAATCGGAGGGCAGGCTAGCAGAGATTCTTTGAGGAATCGGATGGCAGGCTAGCAGAGATTCTTTGAGGAATCGGAGGGCAGGCTAGCAGAGATTCTTTGAGGAATCGGAGGGCAGGCTAGCAGAGATTCTTTGAGGAATCGGATGGCAGGCTAGCAGAGATTCTTTGAGGAATCGGAGGGCAGGCTAGCAGAGATTCTTTGAGGAATAGGATGGCAGGCTAGCAGAGATTCTTTGAGGAATCGGAGGGCAGGCTAGCAGAGATTCTTTGAGGAATAGGATGGCAGGCTAGCAGAGATTCTTTGAGGTATCCGAGGGCAGGCTAGCAGAGATTCTTTGAGGTATCCGAGGGGCAGGCTAGCAGAGATTCTTTGAGGAATCGGATGGCAGGCTAGCAGAGATTCTTTGGGAAGTTTTGCCCTTTTTCCCTGAATTTCCCATTGGATCGACTTGAAATGGTCAGCAGGGGGTGTGAAAGCTAAATATTGACCCTTTTCCTTACGGGGTCAATGATAAGCTGTGCCAATGGTTAGGGGCCAAGTACGCGCGGCACCTGTTAACGTTATTTCCGCCTTGAAAACACGTTTAAAAGGGCCGTGAAGGCAAAATAGCAAAATCTATAACCTGGGCAATGTGTCAAATTATTTTACGAATTTTTTGAGGAACTACCAAGGATGGAATTTAGCAATTTATGCCTTCAACGCCTAGAAAGCAAGACCTAGAAATCAATCTGCATTTTTCTAGTAATTTTTTTGCAGCGGCCCTGGAAGAGGTGCTGCCGGAGATGGCCGAAAATTCGAGTGGCGGCGAGCAGGCGAGGGTAAGTGTCGTTTTTCGACGCGTCGCGGACGTGTCGCGGCGACGCGACGCGACCGCCACGCGCTTGAAAGATCCCTTCATTTTCTATTTTTTTTTTCATTTTCAGCCGGCTCCCAATCAGGTAGACGTTGTGCCCAATTGTGTGTCCCTTGGTTTCCTAAACCGTGCCCTTGGCTGCCGTAACTCGTTTATTTTCAGCTCTCTTGCCGTGGGGACAGCGTCGTTCGCGGCTATCGAGGTGGGTTTTTGGTTTTTGGTGCTTTTGCATTAACGGGGGGGGGGGGGGGGGAGTATTTTAATAATGTTCTTAATACATTAAGCTGCCAATTACAAACTACAATTTTTTAGCCCTTTCCCCGGCCGCCGACTACACACCACAACCCCCTGACAAACCCGGACTGCTGGCAATCGATTCGGTGGAATTGAATGGTAAGAAATATGACTGGGCAGGCTAGCAGAGACCTTTTGGGACAAATAGCGCTAGCTGGCACTATCCCTTTAAAAGGGTAGGGCAGGCAAGCAGAGATCGTTAGCAGAACGAGCCAACAGATGGAAGAATATCTCCTCAAAGAATCTCTGCTAGTCTGCCCGCCGATTCCTCAAAGAATCTCTGCTAGACTGCCCCCTTTTCAGGCAATACCCGGAAGGAATCTCGTCAAACGCCAGTCTCCCGTATTGCCTCACTGAGACGTCGAAGCAGTGTGGCCAGAGACAAGTAATTAGTTGTAGTTTGTAGTCCATAATATACTCTATATAGATGGTCAAACAAACTCGAATTCCTGCTTGCCGTCATTGGGTATGCCGTGGATTTGGGGAATATTTGGCGTTTTCCGTCGATTTGCTACAAACATGGAGGAGGTATGGATTTTTACGCCTTCTAGGTGACTTTAAAGGAGCGGGCAGGGCGAGAAGCCTTAGGCTTAGGCTTAGGCTTAGGCTTAGGCTTAGGCTTAGGCTTAGGCTTAGGCTTAGGCTTAGGCTTAGGCTTAGGCTTAGGCTTAGGCTTAGGCTTAGGCTTAGGCTTAGGCTTAGGCTTAGGCTTAGGCTTAGGCTTAGGCTTCGGCTTAGGCTTAGGCTTAGGCTTAGGCTTAGACTTAGGCTTAGGCTTAGGCTTAGGCTTAGGCTTAGGCTTAGGCTTAGGCTTAGGCTTGGGCTTAGGCATAGGCTTAGGCATAGGCTTAGGCTTAGGCTCAATAAAAAACCATTTAAACATTCCAGGCGCCTTCCTCGTCCCCTACCTAATAATGCTGCTCATTGGCGGGTTGCCAATGTTTTACATGGAGCTGGCACTCGGCCAATTCCACCGCTCTGGCTGTATCTCTATATGGCGCAAAATTTGCCCAATGTTTAAAGGTATCAAAATTTCCCAAAAATCACCGCTAGCCTGCCCTCCCATTTTTAGGCATCGGCTACGGTATCTGCTTCATTTGCACGTTCATCGCCTGTTTCTACAATGCCATCATCGCCCAGGCCGTCTATTTCACGTTTAGCAGCATAGCGGTGCGGAGTTTTTGGGTTTAAGGGGGCTGGAAAGGTTGAAAATTAGAAAATTTCAACTTTAAACAAAAAGCAAAAAATTTGGTGGTCCGGGGAATCGAACCCTCGAGCTTGGATTGAGAGGCCAACGCTCTACCGACTGCGTCAAAGTTTCGATTCAATTTTTCCAAAAATTTAAAGATCCTTGCCAAATCCGTTACTTTTGTGCCCTTTAAAACGGCCATTTTCAGCTAGAAGTCCCGTGGGCCACTTGTAACAACACCTGGAACACCCCGAACTGCTCCGACTCGTTGACCCATACCGGCCAACATCTACGCACACCGTCAGAGGAATATTTTCTGTAAGTGCAGCAGGTGCTTTGGCATTATTGGGGGGGGGGCTGGGGTTTGAATAAATAAACTATCTTCAGATAAAAAATTGCATAAAAACTTTAAAAATTTTTAGTTGATTTTTCGTTGAAAACTCTATTTTTGTGTATTTTTATAAGTTTTTTTGCCGTTTTTACACCAAGCAACCAGAATTATTGGAAAATTGTAACCTAGGAAAAAGTGGTTCCCCCCGATAATGCAAAAGTACCGTGTGAGGAGCACCTTTTAGAAACCACGTGCTCGAGACGCAAAAATCGAGCGGATTCGGCGATTTCGCAGGGATCAAGCCGACGATGGCGCTCTGCTTGGCGGTGGTGTTCTTGCTCGTCTACTTTGCATTGTGGAAGGGGCCAAAGAGTTCAGGAAAGGTGAGGGCAACAAGGAGAGAACAAGGAGGAAATTCATGTGTCCATAGTAGTCGGTCGGAATCCAAAAGCCAATCCCGACGGCCGTCCCCATTAAAACAGCCTAAAAACCTAAATCCTAACGAATTTTTACCCGCGTATTTTGGAATGTAGCGTAGCTGTCGAGACCTAGTAGATAGTAGGGGTCGATTCTCAGCTTTCTAATGCCTTTAAACCTTTATAAAACGACAAAGTGTTGAATTCTGAAGTTTAGATGGTGTGGGTGACGGCTACGGCACCATACGTCGTGTTGGCCGCCCTATTGATTCGTGGAGTCACACTCCCCGGGGCTAGCATTGGTATGTCACTATCCCTTTAAAACAAATACAAATTATCTCAGGTATTCGCTATTACTTGACGCCAGACTTCTCCAAACTGCTCGATCCGGCTGTTTGGAGCGCTGCGGCGACACAGGTTGGAAATTTTGAGGCTCAAAAATGCAGGGCAGGCTAGCAGAGATTCTTTGAGGAATTGGAGGGCAGGCTAGCAGAGATTCTTTGAGGAAGCGGAGGGCAGGCTAGCAGAGATTCTTTGAGGAATCGGAGGGCAGGCTAGCAGAGATTCTTTGAGGAATCGGAGGGCAGGCTAGCAGAGATTCTTTGAGGAATCGGAGGGCAGGCTAGCAGAGATTCTTTGAGGAATCGGAGGGCAGGCTAGCAGAGATTCTTTGAGGAAGCGGAGGGCAGGCTAGCAGAGATTCTTTGAGGAATCGGAGGGCAGGCTAGCAGAAATTCTTTGAGGAATCGGAGGGCAGGCTAGCAGAGATTCTTTGAGGAATCGGAGGGCAGGCTAGCAGAGATTCTTTGAGGAATTGGAGGGCAGGCTAGCAGAGATTCTTTGAGGAAGCGGAGGGCAGGCTAGCAGAGATTCTTTGAGGAAGCGGAGGGCAGGCTAGCAGAGATTCTTTGAGGAAGCGGAGGGCAGGCTAGCAGAGATTCTTTGAGGAAGCGGAGGGCAGGCTAGCAGAGATTCTTTGAGGAATCGGAGGGCAGGCTAGCAGAGATTCTTTGAGAAATCAATGTAGATGATAAAATTCCAAGAGCTTTTTCCAGAATATTCAGAACCAACAATTCCAGATCTTCTTCTCACTTGGCCCCGGTTTCGGCGTGTTGCTGGCGTTGAGCAGCTACAATGAATTCGACAACAACTGCTACAGGTTTGTAGTTTTTGGCAGCTGAAATTTCCTTATTTTTGTAGAGATGCTCTCGTGACGGCGTCGATCAACTTCGCCACGTCCTTCTTCTCCGGCTTTGTCATCTTCAGCACGCTGGGCTATATGAGTGTTCTGACGAATAAGCCTATTAGTGAGGTGAGGAGGGTACTGGTTCTTTAGCGGGGGGAAGGGTAGTAGAAGTTAGCGAGCCCCCCCCCCCCCGGTAATAAACAAGGGAAAACAAAAACAACCTTTTTTGTGGTCGAATTTTGCTAATATAAATCGCAAAATATTTTTTTTGCTTTTCCTAAGCCTGTGACTTAAAATTTTCATCTAAAATACCAAAAATTTAGATTTTCGACCAAAATGCCAACCAAATATTTTTTCCAGTATTTTTTAATGTTTTACACTTTAAATCTGCTTAATTTTGATAAAAACACCATTAAAATATTGACTATAACGTTACTAGGCCCTTCTGGCCTTATAGGAGCCCCCGATATTGCAAAAGCTCCCGAATTCCCAAATAATACATTGCTAGATGCCCGCCATTTTCTTTTTTCCAGGTAGTCGGCGACCAAGAAATGTCGCTAATCTTCATCGTCTACCCCCAAGCGATAGCCACGATGAGATTCTCGCCCCTGTGGGGATTCGTCTTTTTCGTGATGCTGATCACGTTGGGAATTGATAGTACTGTAAGTCGAGTTTTTTAAACCCCTGAAAACTTTCCTGCCTTTAGTTCAGCGGCATCGAGGCGTTGATTACCGGCTTTTGCGACGAGTACCCACGGCTTCTCCAGCGAAAACGGGAGATATTCGTGGCGGTGGTGTGCTCGATGTATTATTTCGGCAGTTTGCCGGCCATTTCTTACGTAAGTGAGCCGAACTAACGTTTATAAATGAAAAGTAAAGCATATTAACAAATTTAACGGGTCTCAAAAGGTACAAATTTGAGATTTTTTACGAAAATCGAGCATCTTTTGTCGAAAAATCGGTACTGGACTGTTAGCGGGGACATTAATTTTTCCAGGAGGCCCGTCCAACTGTATCATACAATATAAAAAATGTATACCATTTTTACAGAGTTTTTAGCTATAAACAGCTCTAAAAAATAAA